GGTATGGTGAGGTACCAAGTCCAATGTCTTTATAGAAAGCTAAATGTACTATATCTAATATATAGTATCTTTGTCTGCCAAGTTCCTAATCTCATCAGAAAACAGTATCATTTGATGATGATAGTCTGAGTTTGCATAGTAAGATTCCCTTGCCTCCTTTCCCCTGTTCTGTTCAGGTACCGATTAATTGGAAATCCACAATCCAGTTGTGTGATTGCACAAGGGGGTGTTGATTGGGATCGAGAAATGCCACTTTGTCAATGTAAGTAGAGACATTTAATAGTGTTCTGCTATAAGTCTAATGGGATTTGATCATGAAAAAGGCTTGTTCCTCTGATAGGAATCAAATAGGAATCACATTTAGTGCTTCACTGCAGACTCCTCTTGTAGTTTTTTACTTTTAATTTTTGTACCATGCTACAGAGAAGTCTGTTACTTTACAAATATGTCTGGCAGGGAGAGAGAATCGCCTAACAGTCATGCTCTAGGTTAATAGAATTTAAACACTTGTATACCAAATCCTTTTTCTTCAGATACAAAGTACCAACATGTGTATGGCACGTTGCAATCTCCAGGTGCTTTCCAGATCCTGTCCCTTTACTTGTCATTCAAGTGCAGCTATCCCGGGGGTGGCATGTAGCAGGCCTCCTTCACACAAAAGAGCAGTAATTGCTGAAGACAGAAAATGAAGTGCATCGTAACCCACTGGTACTGCAGGTGGAGTTCAGGGGATAGGGTTCACTACCAAAGTGGGACTTCTGTCAGGTTAGTTGAGCTAACACCTTGCCCTTGGAGAACGCATCATAGGAACCTCATTGTTCTCAAATAGTTAGCAGCTTCATTTTTACAAGCCCTTCATCCTTCAGCTTTGATGACCACACAGCCAGTCCATTGAGCTCTGGCTCCATAACTGTATGAGGAAAGATGTCCCATTTTCTGGTGTTAACAATCTTGGTCTCCATAACTGGCATAGCCCTAAGGGCAGATCCCCAGCTGATACAGAGTGAAGTCGACAGGATAAATGATTGCAGCTCCCTTGCATTCAGGGGAGCTACATTCATTTTGCACAACCAAAGGGGTTCTGGCCCGTTGTATTTCAGCGCCTCTCTTTCTTGTGAGAGACTGCATACAACATCAGTTAAATTCTTTCTCTCTCTCACTCACTTTCTCTCATTTCCCTGCCCCCTTTCTTTTTGTTAGCGATACCGTGTCTGCCGCCTCCGACAATAAACCATGGGACACACAGTGCAATGATTCTGGAGGAGTTCAGCTATGGGACATCAGTCACTTACAAGTGTGACAGCGTAAAGGCAGGAGAGATTCCTTTCTCGCTTGTTGGAGAAGCTTCCATCTACTGTACATCCCGGGACAAGTATAATGGAGTCTGGAGTGGGCCTCCCCCTGAATGCAAAGGTGACCCTGTACTGTTCCCATAAATTGGCGTGATGTTGGCACTGTGTAGATATGCATGGTAACTGGTGCACTGTAACAGTACAAGCAAGTTACCAGCTTAAACTGGGGAGGACAACATACTGAGCGAGAAGGTGTCGGTAAAGAGAAGAAAGGAGAAAAGGCTTGGAGGGGGTAGGAGAGGAGAAGTGGGGTAGAAAGCAGTTATTCTTCATTTGGTTTCCTCTTGAGCAAATTATCACTCAAACTGCAGCTGCTGAATTAGTAGCCATCAGCAATGCAAGGCAACCTGAGTAGCAGTTCTGCAGCAGAAGGCTCCAGGGCTACAGAGGGAAAGGGAGAGGCATCATGATAACCTGATGGTCCGTGGGAGCTGTTGGAATGGCCCCGGCATCATCTTATGTGTTCACATAACGTGGGAATAATGAAGGGCTGTGCTGGTAACTGCTGTGAGCACTTGGGTTTGGACTTCTAAGCAGAACACATGTGAAAGTTGTCCTGGCTGAACTGCAAAAGCCATATGCCGAGCTGGGCAAAAAATATTGTTGCATCTAATTTGGAAGCTTGGTGTTCTGCCACACTGGCATCCTCTTGATGCTGTTTTGCCATACCTTACTGAAACATTAGGAATACATAAATGGATAAATGCAAGTTGAGGGGAGGGTGGAGGAGTGGTTAGAAAATGTTCTCTCTCTGTCCAGGTGCTTATTCAGGGCTTCCTGGTAAACCCTGTATTGTTTCCCAAACTGGCATCTAACAGTAGATCTCCCAAACTCATACTTTTTCTTCCCCAGCAATTCACTGTAAAACTCCGAACCTTGACAATGGGAGAATAGTGAACAGATACAGCAGTGTCAATACCTGGAACAGCATCCTTTTGCTTGAGTGTAATAAAGGTTTTACCCTCCACGGCAGCAGCAACATTCAGTGCAATGAGAATAGTACCTGGAGCCCTCCGGTACCAGTTTGCGAACAAAGTAAGTATCATGTCCTGGCTAGCGCATCTTCTAGTGCACCCTGTCAGCATTGTTTGGGTGAGACTCCGGTGAGGTAAGAGGGAGGAGTGGGGCTTGAATAGGCCCTGCAGGCTCGAGCTCCTTAGCTTTCATCACCAGCCTGCGTAACACATGAACACTCCTTTCCATGCTGCACTTTGCTGTGCTCCTAGAAACGATTCCTGGCTGCTCTGGGGAGGAAAATGATTCTAGGAAGCCAGGACTTCAAGCAGGATAGGCTTTAAGCCTGGTCCCACTGCAGCCAGCGAGCCTTAGCATTCACTTCAAAGGGACTAACAATGTGTCCTATAGAGATGGTGATGAGAAATCCGTGCAGTGATGCCACATCCTCAGGTGGGGTACATGCCAGCGGTGTAGCTACGCTGTTCCACAAGTGAGAAGCTGGCCTGTGATGATGGGGTCGTGGTGGCCGCGCGGTGAGGTCAACTGACTTCAGTAGAAAGCAGGAGTTGGGCCTGCAGAAGCAAAGGTTGAAATCCTGGCTCCAGTGAATTCCCTGGAAGCTTTGTGCTGACTTCACTGGGGTAGGGGTAAGAAAGGATCTGAATCTTTTTTTATTTTCCTGCCTTCCTTGCAATATCACCAACCCTTCACCTAGTGCCTGACTGGGGTCATTGTGTCTGGAACAGGGCAGCTGAGGATGTAATTGCTAGTTGGCGTAAGTAATATTGAGCTGCTATTCCGAAATCTCAGTACAGGATCTGGGTGCAGAACTTGCGTGTCCTCACTGAAGGCAAACACGCAAGATAGGTTTGGCATAAGAGCATCTGGGCTTTTTGGAGGCGGCCGTGCGTTGAACTGACTACCCCTTGCACTGCGCAGATGGCTGTCACGTTTCTGATGTTACTAACACAGTCCCGTGATGCCGCAGCTCAAAGGCTTTTGCACTGAAGAGAGGGATTCTAGCTGAGGCCATTGTGTGGTCTGAAATTATTCACATGTCCTTCTGGACTTCAACTTCAGGTGACTGTCTCGTGGGCAGGCAAATTGCATAAGTGGGGATATAGTTATTATCTTTGCTACTCAGCCTCGTTGCAATGACTGAGCTAAATTCTGCTCCAGGGTCATATATGTTTCCCATGTGCCAGTGTTGTAGAGGATTCTCCAGCTGCAGCGATGGCTCCTCATTAATTTTGTTTTTGAACTGTTTTTCCTCCCAGGCGGTTGCTACGACCCCCCTAATACTGATAAGATTATGCAACGTTCCTTTTTTTTCTCAAGTGAAGAGCTGAGCGCCGAGTATCCAGTTGGCTCTGTGTTTACATACACCTGTTGGTCAGGCTATGAGTTCAGGCCTGGAGAAAACAAGCTCACTATTACCTGTCAAAGTAACTTTCAGTGGTCTAAAGATCCAAGTCCGTGTGGGAGTGAGTATATGAATCTTTCATTTACTTAGCCTAGTTAGGGCGCAGTATTATTAGCAATGAAGGAAGCTGGGTTTGTACTCAAAAGCAGAGTGGCTCAAAGTGTGAGGGTGGGTGGGTGAGAGAAAGGAAGAAAGAGTCACTCCAAGTCTGCTTGCTCTGTTGTAGTATAGAAATACCCACTTGTAGGGTGGGGCATCGGATGGATGAATCGGGTCTTGATGCATCATACAGCAGAGATCCAGGACACTTCTGAAGTCCTGAATGCACTGGGCACAAGGCCATAGGACCATCCATCATTGGAAACTAATGACCAGTTCAGAACAGCCAGGGCACAAAAGGTAGTTTAAAAGCCCCCCAGAATCTGCCTTTGCTGGGATCACAAATTCTGTGTGTGCCTTTAGGAATCTCCCCCGGGAAGTTTACATGCTCGTGGCCTGATGGGTTGCCCCCAACTTCCCTCTCCCTAGTCAACTCCAGCAGACAGCAGCCGACGTAGGAGGTGCACAGGCAGCACAGTGCTCGCAAAAGGTGCCGCGCGGTCATTCCGTGTTGAAGACCAAATGCAGCCGGCCAGCTGGAATTGGACCAGGTGCCGGCTGCAGAAGGGACACTGAACATCCCTGACCCACGTGACAAGCTTGCCCCACTT